ATTATAAATAAAAATAATAATAATAATAATAATAATAATAATAATAATAATAATAATAATAATAATAATAATAATAATAATAATAATAATAATAATAATAATAATAATAATAATAATAATAATAATAATAATAATAATAATAATAATAATAATAATAATAATAATAATAATAATAATAATAATAATAATAATAATAATAATAATAATAATAATAATAATAATAATAATAATAATAATAATAATAATAATTATATTATAAAGATTTAGCTTTTATATAATTAAGTTAATTAATTTAATATATACTTTATTAATATTTAAAATAAATTAATTAATATAATAAACTTTATAATATAATAAGTTATTATAAATATTAATCTTTATATTTAAATTATTATTATAATTTATAAAAAAAAGCTTAAATAATTACTTAAATTATTATTATTTAAGATATTTAATAAAATTTAAATTAAACTTTAAAGGTTTATTATTTAACTTTAGTAAGTAAGAGAGCTATATAATTATATAATAATTATTAAAAAAAAAAAAAGAGAAATTTCTAAATATTAAACTTTAGCTTTTTATTTAACTATAAAGCTTAAGCCTAGCTATATATAAGGTTTAATATTAATAATAACTTATACTTTAAATATAAATCTTTTATTAATATAACTCTTTTTATAAACCTTAAAATATTACTTTCTATTTATTTAAAGGCTATTATCTTTAATTACTATAAATATACTTAATAAAACTATATAGCTTAAGTCTATATTAATAATCTATTTATTTTATAATTACTACCTTTATTAAGATAATTTAATTATAATATATTACTACCTTTACTACTTTATATATTACTATCTTTATTACTCTAACTTAAGTCTTAAATATCTTATTAAGCTCTTATTTAATTTACTCTAACTTTAATTAACTATAAGTAAAATATATAAATATCTTAAAAGATATATTAAGATACTAAAGTATAAGTTACTAAAGGTATTAATACTTATTATTAAAGATAAATAGCTATATAATTAATTAATCTTTAAGCTTCTTATTATAAATATAAGTAATTATAAGCTTATAGATATTATTAAAGCTATAAGGTTATTAAAAATTAAAGTACTTTAAGACCTTAATCTTTAATAATTAGCTAATTTATTTAACTTTAGTAGTTATATTCTTAATAAAACTAACTCCTTTAAAGAGAAGGACTTAATTAATAAAAGTAATATTACTTAATAATACTTTTATTAATTAACCTTTTTAATTCTAAAATATATATTAATATAAAATAGTAATTATAATTACTATAACCTTTAGCTATTATTATAAAGATAGTTAGTAAAGTTATATATAACTAAAGAAGAGAGGAGGAAGAAAGGAAGGAAGGAAAGGAGATAGATAATTAGGCTAATTAAATATAAGCTTACTTATCTCTCTTAAATATATAAATATATATAAATATATACCTATCCTTATACCCCCTCTATATATTAATATATTATTAATCTTTAAAGCTTTAATAAGTAGTTAAATTATTTAGTAATAAAGGTAGTAATTATAAATAGATTATTAATTATAAGTAGACTTAAGTTATATAGTTTTATTAAGTATATTTATAATAATATATATCTTATCTTTCTATTAAGGCTAGGGATAATAGCTTTTAAGTAAATAGAAAGTAATATTTTAAGGTTTATAAAAGAAATTATATTAATAAAAGAGTTATATTTAAAGTATATTATTATTAATATTAAACCTTATATATAGCTAGATATAAGCCTTATAGTTAAGTAAAAAGGCTAAAGTTTAATATATTATAATACTAAGTATAATATTAAGTTATTTAATTCTTAATATTTAGAAATTTCCCTTTTTTTTTTAGTAGCTACTATATAACTATATAGCTCTCTTACTTACTATTACTAAATAATAATAATCCTTTAATATATATATATATTTATTTTTTAAATAAAATACTTCTTTAAATAGTTATTAATATTATTATTATTATTATTATTAAAACTAACTCCTTAATACTTATATATTAATAATAACTTATATAATTTATTATATAATATATAGTTTATTAATTAAATTAATAATAGATATTTATTATTATTAATTTAAAAATTCTATATTAGTAACTTTTATATTAAAATATACTAAATATAAACTAACCTCTAGTAAACTTTTCCTTATATTTTTAACCTTTTTAATAATTAATAAACTTTTCTAAAAAACTTATCTAATATTATTAAGCTACTTAACTTAATCTATAATATAATATTAACTATATTAATAAAATAAGTTTAATTTTTAAGGGCTACTTTTATTTAAATTAACTTAATATAATATATAATATATTAAAACTAAAGATTAAATTTTAAGTTATTATAATCAATAAATATAAAGAAATAATTATTAATAAGATTTAGCTTATTTAAGCTTTTCTTATCCTTTAAGAGTACTTTATACTTAGCTTAATTTATTAATATTATCTTATTAACTTTATAATAAATTAATAAACTTAATAACTATAATTACTAGATTTAAATTATTAATAATAGTTTTATTATTATAAAGAGACTTATAATTAATTAAAGGCTTAAATACTTAATATACTTAGAAAATAGCCTCTTTAAGTTATCTCTTATAATTATTATTATATATTATAGGACCTAGTTATTTATTATAATTAAGTATTTACTAGAGATAATAATATTAAATATTAATATTATTACTTTACTTAGATTAAATTAAGAGAAATTAGTAATAATAAGTATCCTCTCTTAAAGCTATAGCTAACTTATATACTAGCTAGCTAGAGCCCTTCTTAGAGTTTTTTAAGATATTAATGCTTATATTTAAGCTTTATATATAATCTTAAAAGTTTTTATAGTATTAAGAAGGTTTAGGTATAAACTATAGCTTATTTTTAAAGAGAGGTATATTAAATAGCTATAGCTTATAGTTATATATATAGCTTAATCTTAGGATATTACCCTTATATATAGTAAAAAGAAATAAATAACTTATATAATATTAAGATAATTTAATTATCTATTTAAAATATCTTTAATTAATTATATCTTTAATCTACTTTAGACTTAGTTTAATATAAGTTATTTAATTATTATAGTTATTTAACTATTATAAGAATTTAATCTTTATACTTTCTTCTTCTCTTAAAGTAATTAATATTAGTAAGGTTTTCTAATTAATTACTACTATATAGATATATCTTATATATAGGTATATATATCTAATAAGGCTAAGTTTAAGAGCTATTACTAGTAAGGGTAGACTAAGTAGTCCTAGTTCTTAGAACTATACTCTAGTTCCTAGACTATAACTAAGCTACTTAAGCTATAGCTAAGTGAAACCCTAAGTAACTCTAAGCGACTCTAAGTATAGCTAAGCTAAAGTTAAGCTAGCAGCATATTACTAATATAATTAGCTAAATTAGTCTAACCTAATATAGAAAATGGAGATGATTGTTTTTCTGGAATGACTATAACTCATGATGATTCGTAGAACTTTGGTCACCGAGATTCTCAACAGTCACAAGTTCCATTTTTACGTCTCCTGTCCGCTAATCATTCATCTGCCAAGCTGTACCCTGGTAGAGGCTGATGATATGGGTGGTCCACTGTAGGAATACTGATAATTCGGACGGAACGGGTCGAGAGGAAGTAGAGCGGGACACCTTAGTCTATAGGCTGAACCCACCTCATGCTGACCACCCACCAACAAAAGAATCATACGAAGATGGATACCTCATGGATGCCTTGTGGATGCCTTTGGGATGCCTCATAGAAAAATTAGCCCTCCTCGCATCTGTCGCCCTTTTTAACCCCAGCATTTCCTCTTTTCCTTGCTTTATCTCTTCTACTTTTCGATATCATGATTCTCCTTCTGCTTTGGACTAAGCCACTCTCCTTATCTTCAGTTTCAACAAAAGCGTAGAAATGGCCGAGGAGACTCTTCCGCGTTTTGCCCTGATCCTGCAGGGCGGCTTGAATTGTCCCCCTAGGTTGGAACCCTACCAGCCCGATTCCACCTTGAACTTGACCGCCGAGTTCCAACGACATACTTGCAACTACTGCAAAAAGTTGATATTAGAGCTCCGCGATCACGCAGCAGGTCCCTCCAACGGTCAATACGGAAACATCCAACAGCACCATGATGGGGCTCTGTCCACGTTAGCAAATAGTTCAGCCAGTTGCCGCGTGTGCGCCATCATTATGAACCAGATTATATGTGATCGTGCTCAGGTTCGACAAGAATTCACTTATTATCGGCTTTCTTTGTCACCCAAACACAATAGCTTCTGTGTCTGGCTTACGGAAGATTTAAATGCGGTGACGCCGTCCTCAAGCGACATTTACGGCGAATTCGCCCTCTATTGTAGCGAATTGCCAACGGATCACTCTTGGTTGGATTATGGAGTTGTCTATACGCCTATGCTCAACGAGTTATCCGTTAGCTCTCAACCGTCTCTTGTTTCACGAGATTATCCCTGGCACGACAGGGCAATCGACAAAATCCGGGCATGGATGATGACCTGTGAAAGCCATGACGAATGTCATCCACGGAACTCCACCGCCATCCCCAAACGGGTCCTTAAGATTGCAGACGACAGCGTTTGTCTTCATATTATTACCGGGAAAGAAGATGCCCAAAAAGAAGATCAACGCTACGTTGCATTGAGTTACCGATGGGGGAACGATCTCCCTTTGAAATTGACCCGCGCCACGCTAGACAAGTTCATGCAAGGATGCCCTATCTCAAAGCTGCCTGCGACTCTTCAAGATGCTGTGCGCATCTCTCAGAAGCTTTGCTTCAAGTTTATCTGGATTGACGCCCTCTGCATCATTCAAGACGACGCTCGGGACTGGGCGGAACAGTCGGCCCAGATGGCAGAGATATACCGACAGAGTAGCCTTAACTTGTGCGCTGCGGACTCAGCAGGTTGTGGTTCGGGAATGGTGGAAATGGCGGCGCCATACTTGATGGAAATTGCTGCTGCAGCGGCTCCAGCTCCATCTACGAATTCGACAAGAATGGTGGTTCTCATGGGTGGCCCTATCGCAGCCGGCCATATCGATGTGAGTGGCTGTGGGCTCCAGTCCAGGGGATGGGTCTTTCAGGAGGGCCTCTGCTCCCCTCGTGGTCTCTATATCAGCCGCCGGCACGGCTTGTGGTGGGATTGCCGCACCATGGTCGATGCGATTGACGCGTCTGAGCCCATTATGACGGGGGATACTGACCATGCATTCAACCCACGCACCCTAAGGCGGTCGTTCCCTCAGGCCGAGCCTCCGGCCAACTCTCTCCACCAAAACCTCTCCTTCAACTGGTATGACTGGATAATGAGCTATACATTGAGAAACCTCACGCGCCAACCAGATCGGCTCCCTGCCGTCGCGGGCTTAGCCTCTTATGCTTTCTCGCTATCGGGAATGACCTATGCAGCCGGATTGTGGAAGGAGGATATTCTGAGGGGATTGACGTGGCGTAGAGGAAATTCGGGCTACGCTGAGCGAGCACCAGGAAACGCGCCTACCTGGAGCTGGGCCTCGGTCACCGGGCCTATCCACTATGATGAGTTCTTTACGATGCGTGTCGACCACCGTGGGGAGATCAAGAAGCGTCCCAAGCTCGACCTTGAGATCACGGGTACGACCATTCACGAAGTGAGGCCAGGCACATTTGGGAATGTCCAAGGCGGCGAAATCGAGGCCACTGGCATCCTAAGGAACGCCGCGACGATGCTAGTGGGAACTGGCTTGAGTGCAGACTGGTATCTTGATCTGCAGCCTGCGGGAGAAGAAAACCAATTCCTCGAAAGCTGCCAGGTGCTTCGACTCGCGATGGCCTACCGAAATAAGCAGAACAGTAAGCCCCAGGTCTACTTTCTTATCGTCCGGAAGACAGGCGAGGGTGTAAATGAATACCAGCGTGTCGGCCGAGGTTACATCGAGTTAAGGTACGACCAGCACCCAAATCGTTCCAAATTTTCCTATAGAGGACGCCCATCGCCCAAATCAGAGCTTCCAGAGCAAGGCATATGGGAGCAGGCCGAGAGGGTCACATTAACTCTTGTTTAAGAGGGGAAGAAGAAACAGAACCGAAATCAAACGTTAGGGATACCCTAATATATAGTAAACTTACTTGAGACAGGCTCTATCTCAAATATAGTGGGCATATATTTATGGATACATTTAACTTGAAATGAAAAAAAAAATAAGAATCCTCTTAAATGTAGTTATTGATAAACACTATATAACACTATAGCTCTCTTACTTACTACGCTAGTAAGGTGAGAATATGTTACTAGATCCCCCTTTATAGACAGACAGGGGAGACTAGAGGATATCTCTCATCCTATGTTTCAATCCGCGTGTCAGCGTCCTCCTGTACGTGCTTGATCCGCGCCCATGGCATTTCCGAAAACCACCAAACTAAGCTGTCCGCCGATGGTACAAAGGTCCAACCCTCCTCATCTTGCCTTTCACTGATCTTCAAGTCTAACATAAGATATCCATCCCTCCGACAATGTATGCCTTATGAGTTGAGGATCATGATTTCGTCGCTGGGACTATCGAACCGGGCTTTGCCAAGACTCCTCTTACGGTCATCTTCATAGCGAAGGAGCAAGCTAGCTTGAATTCGGCCATAGTTAAAATCAGTTCTGTAGACGTGAGGAGAGTTTACGCCACTCCGTGGTACACAAGAGTAGAACGTGTTTGAGCAGTAGGGCGGGGAGGGCGAGCGAAGCGAGATTGTCAGAGGAGATCCTTGAATTTTTGGGGTTGGAGTATCGTAGCCGAGCCATACCTTGCCAACGTATAGATTCTGTCCTTTACACATGCGATCAAGCAGAGCCCTGCGATTACTAGGTTTCATTTGTGACCGAGCCTGATAACCCAACGTCAAAGTTCGCCCTTGGCTGGTTAGCATCCAACGAGGGCTGACTTTGTTAGCTTTCGAACATGCCTGGCAGGTCATATCCGCAATACTCACTACACGGACCCATTCCGAGTCGCAATATCCTTGTTATAGTTCTGTGGCTCGTTCACCTTTGCCAATTGGTAAATAAAAGTAGGTAACACCTTCGTGTCTACGAAGTCAAGCGCGGTAGATTTCGTAATTGAGTATGGGCATGAAACACCCTTGAAGAAAACGGTGAATCCTCTGATGTTTTCGTGGCTGCATTGAACTGCATTCATCTTAATATCTGTAACGGTGGCTTAATTCCCCCCCTTTGTCTAAACATTTATTATCTTTGTTGAAAGATAAAATATCTAACTCTATAGAAGCTATAGGATGGTTACCGTACTACTTAAGGCTGCTAAGAGGAGCAAGATAGTAACTTATAAACTAACTATTAGTTCTTTATATATACTTAACCTTATACTATTAGTAAGCTCTAAGTACCTATATATATATATATATAAGGTACCTAATATAATAATACCTAACCTTTAAAGATTAAGTGATTTCATAATCTAAATTAAAAATTTAAAGTAGGAAGCTAATTAAATCCGGAAGGGGAATCAACCACAGCCTGGAGCAGACCCTTGATGGTTGATCCGACTGTTGACAACCATCCTTGCTAGCAGAAAGGATCCCGTCCCCCATCGCTGCATATGTAAGAAGCCACTGCGAATCAGAATTCAATGGGAGACATGCAAATGTGTCCCCCCATCTAGGCTGCTTTGGCCTCGGCCGGCCGCACACTTCCGCCCTAAAGATTATTCCTTTGGATATAGCATGCATCAGACATACACATTATACTATATATTATTATTTAAGGTTATAATTAGAAGTTAATTATTAAAATATATAAAGAGGGTCCGCGAAGCTAACCAGTCTGTCTGCCGTCAAGACGAGCGATCGCTGCGAACCTGACTTGGCTGTCTGCTGTTGTGGCAAGCGATCGCTGCGTAGCTTGCCAGCCTGTCCCTCCTCAAGACCAATGATCGCTGTGTTGCCGACCTAGCTGTCTGCTGCTGTGACGAGCGATCGCTGCGGACCTGACCGACCTGTCTTCCGTCAAGACGAGCGAGCTTCGCTTACCTTTAGGACTGCTTTGCAGGCATTGACTTGTAGATATACTAGGTCCTAAAGGTAGAGGAAGTTCTAGTGAAGTTGATTTTCTATGACTGTTGAAAATATTGGTTGGTCTAAACTACACGAACTTACAAGACCTAACAAAGTAGAAGAACTATATCGAGTCAGGGTTATTTAGGCCAGCTACCTATCCCTTCTTTCCTTTCTTTCACTCTTTTCGCTCCTCTCGCTCCTTAGCCTCAAACTCCCTTGACCCAACTCCATGACGTCTTCCACTCCTCGATTCCCAAGCGCCGCTTTTACGCCATCCTAGCTCTAAATATACCTGCTCATGGAGAGCCCGTAATATTCCCCGTGAGTAACCTCCCTCCATCCATTCAAACTTAAGGCCACGCTTCTCAGCCTGTGTAGCAATAAATTTCTGAAATTCATAATGAATCACATCTTTAACATCCTCTTTCTTAATCTCCACCGTGGTCATAAGTTGATTATTTCTGTTATCTAAGGACTTCAGCTCATCCAAAAGCTCCTCAATAGCAATCTGTGCTATTGCAACTGTATCCTCGCGGACACACTGCAGGTGTAGCACGCAGACAGTAGATGCATCAAAAGAAACGCAAAAGACTATATCGCGGTCGCGCACAGTAAGATCAAGTTTTTGTTTTTTCGGTTTATATTGGCCATCTTTGATCAGCATGTGCTTAAGGCATGCGAAGGGACCGATATCGTTATCTTGAAAGCAAAGCTCAATACGTGTATTTTCGGCTGTCATTGTGAGTGGTGTAGTAAGGGCGGAGAATTTTCCGAACTTTTCTGGTCAGCACAGATCTAGGATATAACTTGTAGAAGAATAGTCCTGTCCTTCATACCAGTTGGGGGCTGCGAAAGCTTGGTTTCAAGATGATGCTGAGTGGGGAGCAACGGAGGCTTCGATGATTATCAGGAACTGGGTTGTTTATATATGCGTCAGACATGGCCTTACCTTGTTTTGCACGCCACCACACTTAATGAGGGATACGGCGAAGAATCAAGTGTTTCTACAATGATGCTAGCCAACCGGGCCTGTCTTCGTTCGATGGATATAACGTGAGATTGTATCGTGAGCAGCCTCAGTCGGTGTGAGGGTAGCTACGCGTTGACACGTCAACACCTCGGTGCGTGGATTTTATGGTTAGATCAGAGAGATGGGGTAGGCAATTACGTGTCAATTTTTGCGCCCAAATCCTCAGCTCAGCCGCGAAAGTGGATCACCTTTTGCCAGTTTCCACGTCACGTTTCTATAACCGTGAAGCGTTAGACCAACATCATGTGTTGGTTGAAGATGTTGGGGCTTAACATCATATGCATTCACATCAATTGATAACTCCACTAATCCTAGCGCGTACATTTGTAAATTAGCCACAATTTATGCAAGGGCAAAAGGAAGACCAACAGCTCAACTGGTTGGACTTGATCTATCGGAACTTCTGATCACGAGGCCTGATAGGTGGCCGTGTGGGCAGAACGAGCTGGTGGTTGGCGACTGCAAGCGGAAGAATTCCCATCGATTGGGCTTTTCAAGATGATGGTATGCCTAAAAAGCGCCTTATAATGAAGGAACGCTAATGGATAATCACTTGATGTTTACATGGTTCCGTAACCAACACTTCTCTCAAGCGATATCCACGCATCTGTGAGTTCAGTGCCTGGGGCTAAGCCTCGTCGTAGCGTATGAAGAGCTGGTAATTTTTGTGACTCTGTCTCCTAAACAGCGTGTGTAAGTGATCTTGCCAAAGATATAAATAATCATGCTTCCTCCCTTAGAGACCTACCGGGCATCTCCCTTCCAGACCTCAGTACACCCCTAAAGTCTTACTCCTTCTGACCCAAGCTTTGCTACAACACATTATCTCCATCCAAGTTATTGAACCTCCATCTCGGGCACCATATCATTCACGTGGGCGAAGACTCCTACCTATAAATTTGGAGACAACCACTAATCCCATTCACAGGCTAAGCAAATCTTGCCGACATGTCGTCTTCCATGAACTCTATGATCTTCACCCTCGGCCAGGAGTCGAGCGTTTACACTACTTGCGCTGCATTCTCTTGCAATAACCAGGTCAAGCGAGGAGATGTGTGCACTTGTGGGACGCAGAACTAGGACGTCTCTATGAGACGCCCTGCTCTCATAAGCATACAGACGGAGGGCTTTTTTTTCAAAGAGGGCCTGTCGAGGGGATTAAGGACCTTTCAAAACATCATGGACATCAGCGATAGTAAGAGATTATGTACTTAAAGATGCTCGCAAGGGAATTCTAGTCTATGTAGCTACGTCAATCTGGACTGGAAGAATTGCAGGAGCACTTGGGAATCTGGTCAAATTTAGAAACTTTATGACAATTGCATAGACTTTTGTCCCCCAACACTTAATTGAGTCCAAGTAGAGAAAGTAAATGTGAAAGTATGTTCTATCGCTTTGGCTTGATGGCCGAGGCATAAAAATTAATCCGAAAGGTAAGTGGTAACTCGAATGGCTTTTGATTTCTATAAATCTCATTTATCCATTCGTTGTCAATAGCGAAAGAAATACTATCTCGAGGTTACGAAGTTTTCCACCACCTTGGAGTAGAACCCAGGCTTGCCATTCTCAAAGAGGTGCATTGCTGTGATGAGGTGCTGCCGTTTGGTATCTTGAAGAAGATCGGATAGAGTGTGATCAACAGTCTGCCTCCCTTCCTCTTCCTGCCTCACAGCATCAATATAATCCACGCGATCCACAAATCTCTGGGCCAATGCAGGATCTTTGGGCCAGCCAGCTTCGTCATAGTCCTTTGGAAGATTCATTGTGGGAGGGACAACAGACAAGCTCAGCGGAAATTCTCCAAAGACTTCCCATGGTCCAGCGAAAGCTGATTCCCAGTCAATAACCCCTAATATACGATAATCATCATCAACAATGATATTGTTATGACCGAAGTCACCGTGACAGAGAGGAAACGGGCCCTTGTCGTGAGCGGCAGATATTTCCCCAGCTATATCAGCCACTGATTTCGTGAAAGATGTGACTGAAGGGACAATCTCGTCGGCGTATGGGCCACATAAGGCCCGGAGACGGTCATCGGACGCCCCAAAATGTTTCTTAGTGGCCCATGCCCTGAAGAAATCAGTTGCTGTGTCAAAGGGGCCACCAATTCCAGGTATCGGCCCCTGCTGAAATGTACCATCTGCATTCATTGCCGTGATAGTTCCGATTTTAGGGAGCTGGATCCTGGATAAGTCAACCTGAAGCATCATTAGCCAATTCCTCCCGTCGTTAGGCTTCAAGGGGTCGATTATTCACATGGATTTTCGCTAGCTCTTTGAAGAAATTCTTCTTGTGAGCCGTAGGAATATCCATTCCCAAGTCCATCCCAACATTTCCCTCCAAGCAGTCCATGAGGAAAAATGGCGCGTTCACACCTGAGTCACGACCCGGCTCAAAAGCGTGGATTACAGGTGTGGGAATAGCAGAGGTTTTTGTGAGTAGACGAATAGTGTTGAATTCACAGCTGCTCTTGGCTTCAAGGCTGCCTTCAAATGAACCTGAATCTGGAAGCGGCGGTAGCTGCAGTCGCGCCACCCATCGGACTCCATCATTGAACTCGATGATTCGGACCATGTGATTGCCACCGAGGCCGATAGCAGGAAGAATAGACGCATTGGCTCCGTTGCGTTGCTTCGAGGCATATTCAAGTAGCCGCGGCCATTTTACAGCATCTAAGAAGGACTCTGCACGAGAGCGGATGGGCCCTGCATTTAGAGAGGAGAAGTAAGTCCATTTATATCCGGAAAAAGATTTGGCATTCTCTTCAATATTGTTAGTTGCAGCCACCAAACCAGGAGTATTTGTTTCTTGAGATGACTTACCTTGACGCGTTGCGTCCATGGTGTAGAGGTAGGCTAGGAACTGGAAAATCTTTGCAGCATCGAGTACTTGGAGTCTGCGTCAGGTTTGGGTAGGTTGCGCACGGTTCTAAGGCGGGGGGGGAGGGATAAGGGGAGTGAGGATGGTGGGCAAGCGAAGGGGAAAGCGCCAGCCCAAGCGCAAATGTAGCTGCGGTCAGGCTGCTCATATCCATCATTGTTGGTTGTTGGTTCTATGGATCCCTTGTTGAGCCGCCATCCAGTGCTTATTGGAGGCTGTGTAGGCGTTATCGTGCGACGCATGGATTGGATCAACACCAACTACCACCCTATTCCACCCTGTTCCTCCCAAATAATGCAGTGACTGGGTGCGGAGTGGCTTATGAGAGGTCCTCGAAGAAGAGTATTTGAAGTACCTGCATCTTTACATTTTTGTTTTATTGAGAATCTCTTTTTGCATTTACCTGGATATGGTGCTGAACACCTTGATATTTAGCCAAATTCGCACCAGTAGGAACAGCCGTACTAACGCGGTTAGACCTGAAAAGTGAGTTCTAATTTTGGAATGTGGCTTCATCCTCCTTCTCCACTTCGCCATCTTCAATCATTTCGCTCATCCTTCATCACAAAAGCTGCCGCTCCGAGCAAAGCCCTTGCGTTTGGATCAAGCAATCAAGCAATACCTTCCAGACTAGGTCCTCCAATCTTATAAGCCGTCAAGGGAAAGATTCTCGGCAGAATGGCCGAAGACGCAGCAATTGACCAGGTCCTGACCTCGAAGCTCGACGCCCGATTTCTGGACGGCGGCATAATTGAGCACAGCAAGCTTGGGCATCACCAAGCCTCTGAGGAGTCAAAGGTTACCAAAGAACAATGGATCCCCGACCAGGAAACGCCTACGTTGAGTCGGAGTGGCCGCAGTACCATACTTCTCCAGCGAAGTGAGGACAGTCCTATCAAAGTCAGGGCTGTCAAGGAAATCCACAAATCCATTGGCGAAGACGACTATGTCGACTATTCTAAAGAGCTGGAGGCCATCGTGAAGTTCTCAAGATCATCGGTTAGCCCCCCGAATGATCCACGTTTGGTGAAGGATGCTAACGCTGAATTTATGGGAAATAGCACTCCCACTTGTTCGTGCAAACGTACGGCTGGTTCGAAAACTCGACTTCTGTATTCATTACCATGGAGTATTTTGAACTCAGAGATCTTAGTCGCCAAGTGTCACAACCACTCCCGGTACAAGAAGCTCATCAGATCGTTTCCCAGCTTCTTGACGGCTTGGACTATATGCACAGTCAGGGTCTTGTCCATCGGGACTTGAAACTCTCGGTACGATGTCTCACCCTCAAATTCATGTTCATGCACACTAACCCACAATCCCATAGAATATTATGGTCGTGTCTAAGACACCCTCATGGGTTGTGAAGATCGCCGACTTTGGCACTGCTAGAATGATCAAGAGGGATCAAGATGCCACCACCACACGACCCATGGGAACGGTTTCGTTTGCCTCACCCGAACAGTTGGGCGTAACAAGGCCAAACCCAGGCTATGAGTCTGCAACTGATATGTGGTCGCTTGGTGTCATTATTTTCAAGCTGTTAACCTACACCACGCCTTTTGAAGCCGTATACGATCTTGTTGGGTACGTGTCCGGGAAAACTCACCTGCCCATGACGGACAAGCTGCCTCCCGATACTCCCTTGAATATCTCAGAAATGATCAGAGATTTGCTTTCTGTCGAGCCTCAGAATCGGCCATCGGCACGTGCATGTAGCAAAAAAGACTGGAGTCAAGTCAGCCTTGAGCCCCAGGATGATCGAGAAACAGATTGGTCAGTGTCAGCTAAAGTGTACTCGCTTGAGTTCCATAACTAACTAGGTTGATTATAGCCCTGTTGAAAGCAGCTCAGAGCTAAATATCAACACAAGTGAAGCCGAGAAACAGACTCTCCCTATTCGTACTAAAACGGAGGCAGCACATACAACTCAACCAACCAAAGAAGGTCCTCCCGAGAGCAAAGAGACCAAATTGCAGATCATTCAAAAGTCTGTTCAAGAAAATGATTGGAATCGTGCACTGCCGCATATAAAAGACTTGGTCGAGAACATTGCATCGGTAGATGAGACAGACAAACAGTTGTTGATCAGCCTGGTCGCTGACACCTACCTCGGAGGTCATCTTCCAGAGTCTATTTGCTTCGATCATCCAGAGATAAGAGCTGAGATTGCAAAGCAAAACGCCGAAGAACTTGGATTTTTGGAGAAGGAAGGTCGTTACAAAGAAATCATAAGTCTTCTGGAACCATACAAGCTCCTCCGACCTCAACCTGAGCTACTTCGAGACACGAGCCCACGGATGGCAAGATGGGAAGTGGAATTTTGCGACAGCCATTCATTGGCCTTATTCCACTTGAAACGAGCCGATGAGTCCATTCAAAATCTATCTATTTCCCTCGAAGTGCCCGGCCTCGCTCCTGCCGAGAAAGGAATTCTGCATCACTCTCTGGCTCTTGTCTCTCTTAGCAAAGCAGACTGGAGCAGTGCAAAAGAGCACGGCAAACTATCATTTGAAGGCCTGCGAGAAGTGGCACAGCCAAATCATGACATGATATTGGACAGCCTAAAGATAATTGTGACATCTTGTGGGGCTTCTGATGACCCAGACTTTCCGATGTGGTCACAGACTCTAGCCAGAGAGAAGAAACAAGCAGCGACATTAGCAGGCTCCGAACCCGAGGCTTCTGGCAAAGGGAACAAGGCGGCCCGATCTGGGAACAAAGACAAGGATATTTCACGAGGAAAGAAGGATCTTCTCGATTGCCAGCGAGAAATGGCAGAGCTTTTCTCCAGCTATCCCTCAATGGCTGCTGAGCGAGGTACAAAATATATCCGCAAACACTTCAAAGTGTCATTCCCACTCTACCGCCGCTGCGATGACTGCATCCAGGCCTACTTCATGGACAATTCCTGCTCAATCACCGCCAAGACTGGTGGATCTTTCTGTGAGAAGCACAAAAATTTCAAAACTGACATGCCTTTCTCTCCGCTTCACTTCTTTTCTATCTCTCGCCAAGATGCTGGTCCCCTCTCGGGCAAGTATCGAAGTTGCGTCGAGGAGGTACAGTGCCTGGTTGAACAGGCGAGCAATGACGAAAATGCGATCAACCGGCCCCTCCGTTTCTCTCCTGTCAAGGCAGGCCATTTCATGGAGATCACGCCGATTTGGTTAGCCGCTCTAGATGGAAACCATCAAGTCGTTGATTACCTCTTGTCTTTGAAGGCAATTAATCCGTATGAGGGTTACAAGTCCCCCTGTCTGTTGCCGAGTCTGGGTATCCCGAACTCGCACCACGCACTGATCTTACGTGTCTTCAATCAATTGTCCACCACCTCAGCCCTACGCTCAGTTGGATCATACCTCCCAATGAGGGAAGCACGCCCCAACCCCCCATGGGTGTTCGCTAGCGCATCTCTTCTGGATGGTGTCCTCCAAAAATGTAAGAAAAGGACCAGGGAGATATTAGTTCCGGTGCAAGTGCGAGAAGGAGAGGTCCCCGTGCAGCTCCCGCTTATTCATGGCCTTGCTACGCTACCAGTCACTGTCGTAGAGCATCAGAATTCCTATTCCTCACGGCTGGAGCTTTTTGAGACCTTGGTGAAGCATGGCGTCTCTGTTGTTGGTGGTTCTGCTATCAAAGTGTTCTCCCGTCGTCTTGGCGAAGCCCTAGAACTTCTTCTTCAGCCTTCGCCCCAATCGCGAACGGTTGATGTTATATGTGGCCAAGTGTCAGATTTATCACGGATATGTCGACATATCCATGAACGACAGCCCGACCTCACCTTGAATGACATACACTCAAGTTTACTCACGAACTTCGAGAAGTTGAGGACCAACATTCACAGGGAGATTCAAAAAGTCATGGAGAGGCATACCAACAATGATAACCGAGGGTTGAGGAAAGTCTTCAGAGGAAGTCGACTACCCGAACTCACAACCTTGGACTACGATCACAAAAAGACTATGCTCAACATATGTGTTGCTGCAGAGGATGCACATGCCTTGTTGAAAAGTCTTGGGTTGCAGGATGATGATAATTCTATCGATCAAATAGACGGCGCTTACCAGCCTCGCCGGTTTTTCGAAGGCACCGAGAATGATATTCACGTTTTTCTCCAAGAGGTTATTCCTAGTGCTAGTGCAAACTAGATAGTGTTACTCCCAAATATCAATTTTGCGTTTCATTTTTTATCGTTTTGGCTGTCTGATAAGTGTTTAGATCGGGAAGCTCCCTTCAATCACGTGCAAGTAATCTGGGCGAGGCTAATTTTACAACTGATTGACTCCTAGGTACATAATTTGGGCGAATGAGTCATGCGTACTTTAGATGAGTCAATCACCTGCGTACTTTGTTTGACTACCAATCCTGAATATAACAACACCAAGCTTGGAAAAAACACATGTTGAATCCTCAAGCGTACGAGGTTCGACTATACCTAGGATGGCTATTCCTGCCGATTTGCTTCCTCTCTTACAGCGACCTGAGGGGGACTCGAGGCCAATTGTGGTGGCGATGTGTGGTGTTGCGGGTAAGTTTACCCATTTTTGAATTGGTAGGGAGCATTCTGCTGAACTTCGCATTTATCTAGGCGCTGGGAAATCTACCTTATCGAAATCAATTGTCGCTGAATTTCCAAGCTTCACCCGGCTATCTATTGACCAAATGATTTTCGACGCCTATGGGCTATACGGAGTTGACTACCCCAGAGAGCTTTACCAACAATACTCCTCAGAGGCGAATGAGCAGTTCATCGATGATTTTCGGCACCTTCTATCTTCTGACGAGCCTAGAGACGTGGTGTTGGATCGTTCATTCTATGCAAAAGATGATCGTGATGACTACCGAAAGTTGGCACAAGATATGGGAGCTAGGTTCATTCTTGTGTTTTTTGAGATCAGTAAGGATAAACTATGGCAAAGGATTCAACATAGGGCCACGGGCGATAGAAATGCAGATTCTGCCTTCGACATTACACCTGATATCTTGGATAGATACGTCGGCGGATTCGAGAGGCCAGATGAAGATGAGATAAGCGTCACCGTTACCAGCTAGGCTGGGTTCTGTCTCTTTCACAATTCTTCAGTAGACAGACCATTTTTGCTACTTGTGCTATGGTACTTTATATTTAGAGAGAGTCTAAATGAGCATGTTGCAAATGCTACTTCTAACACCTTGTTTATCTTGGTAATATTTTGCTTAGAGGCTTAGGAGCGACTTTGATGTTCATCTGTACCTGGAGTTCTGTTCTCATCATCCACAGTTTGCCCCTTGGAGGTTTCCGGAGCTTTCTTTTGGAGACTGATCCAAACTGCTCCACTGATGATGAGCCCACTCCCGATAAAGCTGGTGATGGGAGGTGTTGTGCCCCAAACAACCCGTTCGAAAACCAATGCCCAGATCATTTGAGTGTACTATAGAAGTCCATTAACATTGAGTTTATGACGGGACGGGTCGTGGATGAAAATGATTAGAATCAACTTACAATAAGATTTGTTGCTCGTCCTGCCTTCTCTCTTTGCAGCCCTTCTGTTAGTAGTACCTGAAGGAGAAATCCCGAGATTCCGATGAATACTAATAGCAGCCTAAATTTGAAATCAGAGACTGGGTATGTACCAGTATTGCAGTGCCAGCACTCACCATTGGGTCGCAGTGTGAGGGATCTCGAACTGAAGGTCCGGATGGATCATGATTATCGCAAAGGAGCTGACAGAGCCAAGTACAGCGAAATAATTGACGCTAACAAGCGAGTGTGCTCGTTTTCCGATTACACGGATGGTAGCATATGCTGTGGCAGCGGCAAATGCGCCTAGGATCGCGCAGGCAATAGCCACTGCACGCTCAGCGGGAGTCGCTTTCGCTGGGGGAACAATAGCCACTGCACGCTCAGCGGGAGTCGCTTTCGCTGGGGGAACAATCCCCCCCTCGCGATCAATGTTAATAAGTGAGTAGACATCAGCCGTTAGAGATTGGTTCTCTTGACTATCATCCCCATCCTGGCTCGGAAACAAGTACGGTGGCCGAGCAATGAATAGTACGCCTCCAAAAGCAAGAAGCCCGGCCAGTGCCTCTTTGACCGTAAAGGGTTCCTATAATGAGTGAGAAATTGTTTGCGGGGGGCATTGAGATATCAGACATACGTGAAGAGCAACCCAACACACGAATGCAGTAAGAGTAGGTACGAGAAAGGTGATGACCGTAGCGTCCGACATGTCGAGGTATGATAGTGAATCTTGATCATGTATTAGTAGAGTTCACTTCTTAAACCTCGATGGAGGCTGAGGACATGCCTACAATATAGACCAAACAATCCAATAGTTCCTGCAGTCCCTCGAATAACAAGAAGTCTCCGGACGCCACGAGGGCCAAATGGGAACCCAGGAACGCCCTTATACGTCATCCATAGAGACCCGATAATTGCTGTGGAAAACATGCGGACAAATATGATCTGCAGGGCGTGAAACTTGGTCTCGAAGCCAGTTTCAAGCAACTTGGTAGTCATTATCATCTGGGTATTTCATTAGCGAATGCATTTAGGACAATAAAGGGCGAGATCGGTCCTGCTTACCGTTGACGCAAAGAATTGGGCGAGGAACACAAGAAATAGGCCAAAATTGTTGTTATAAAATTCCCGAAGACTCTGCAATAGGCCTTTGGGTTTATTCGTGCGACTTTGCTCATTCTCTCCGTTAGTGGCAGCGGCAGGCTGAAGTAGCGGAGCCGTGGGATCGGCATCATCACGACCAGGAGCCGGACGCCTTGGAGAATCATGCGCCACCATCTTGTGGAAGTTGAGGAGAGTCGCCGCTGTTTGGACTCTGGTTCTTGGTTTTGGGTGGCTTCGGCTGTACAAGCACATATGCCGAGAAAAATTGTTCCCCTCACTCGCGCTTTATTATTGGTTGCCGAACTGGAAAATTCTCAACGCCGAGTCAGATTAGTCATCTAGGCACTGAATTTGCCACATTTTGGAGCTCTACCCTGGAGGACAATTCCTGTGCTGCCGTAACATGGAAAGAAAATGGACGAAATGGCTTACCCAGCTCACCAATGAGCTTAAAGCATGGAATTAGAAATCGTTTTAGATAAGGACGGGACGTGATCTCAAAAGCCAAGTATAAACCCGAAAGAATAGTGGACGGCTATTTAAAATTACGATTCAAGTGGAGTCGATTCCGCCGTACCTTGTTCTTTAGTCTTGAGCATTTCCTCCTTTTCGGCCGGTTATTACAAAGTGTTGACCTTTTCGGACATATTCTCAAGTTACAGCTTATTCCGGGGATTAAAATATGACTGATGCCCGAATCTCGAGAGGGAGGCCCTGCGTTTAGGCTCTGGGTTCAATGTTTGGTGCAGGCTCTAACTAGTGGCTCCTTGTCTAAGACCCTGGTTCAGATGGAGGATGATAAGATTTATTATTGAGCTGTTTATCCTAATGTACCCAGGGGCTTGTTAACCTGAGTAAGGATGCATGGAATACTCAATGAACCAATTCATCTGAGATTTGTACTCGGATGAGTTCCTCAAGGGTTTCACATATCCATCCGTCCGACAGCCCGGCTTGACGTCCTTCCCAGAAAACCTGTCTAGAACCCAGTCTAGCCAGATGTTTTCGCCGTAAAGGAATACGGACAGGTGATTAACCTTTTCGAATTCAATATACTCAATGTCGGCATTCTCAATGGCTGCACATGTCGCATCGACGGCTGCACGCACGCCAGTGGCGTTGACAGTGCTGTCCCCGTTGCCTTGAAGGACGAGTAGAGGGCCGGCAAAGGGTTTCGCAATGACAGATGTTAACCGCTCCCAGGATTGGTAATACCACGACTGGTCCCAACCCGATCTGATGAGATCTGCTGAAATGAACAGTTGGGTTGCGACGGACTGACTTCCTTGGAGATCTTGGAGGAGCCGAACCACACGCTCTCCCTTCTCAGTTAGCCAGTCGCTAAGAGAGAATTCGGGAAAGATAGAATTGACTCCCGTAGCTATACGAGAAACCACAGAATTGAGAGCAATCTGAGAGGACTCATGCGCTATCCGGGTCTTTAGTGAGAGCCATGGAGCACCAGTAATAGTGCCTAGATAGCCCTTGCCCAAGTCTTTTGCTTCTTGATTATTACGGCCAAGAATTAAAGAGGCGCCCCACTGAGTTTGCGGTCATCAGTTACATGTAAGTCTAATCATCTGCATTTGAAAAGCGTGAACTGGACTTACCGCAGCACCCCCGCCCTGCGAATGGCCCATTATCACGTATTTGGATCCAAGTTGTCGCCAAGCCTTCTTGGCGGCTTTTGTGGCATAAAGGAGATCATACCCGGAAGCCTCGTTAGCCAAAAACTGATGAGGGAGGGTGTTTCCGTGTCCATCGTGGTCTAGACCCAAGCCGACATAGTCGGGGACAACTACGACGAAACCGCGTGCACTGGCTGCACTTGTCGTCATCCATTGAGTACCCATATTGCGCATGTGGCTCATTCCCCCTTCACCGGACCTACAGTCAACATCCCCACAGAGGTCAGCGAAATCACACAAAAACTCAAGTTAAGGAACCTTATGTGGAACTCGAATTACTCACCATCCTATAGCGCCATGTGCCAAGGTAATTATTGGCAACCCATCGGAGCCTTTAATATCTTGGGTAAACCATGGCCATAGTACGAAAGCAGAAGCTGGGACAACAGTTCCGTTGAAGGTTTTACTCGTATAAACAAATCGGGAGAGACCTAAAGTTGGTGGTATCGTGTAAAGTGATATGTTGCTTCGCTCCTCAATTTTCACAATAGATCCGGGCGGAAGCGATGACCAGTTGGATGGGAGGTCGGTATAAAAGGGGTCCAAGCGAACAGATGTGCCCGCCCAATTTGATCTCTCAAAATTCAATGCAACAAGAACCTTTTCCCCTATCTCCGCAGATAGATTGGCCTGCTTGATTCTATCCATGGCCGTTTGGGGGTTATACGGGCCATGGGTGGCATTAAAAGTGTTATTCTGCACGCCGGCAGCTGGTCCTGTTTGAGCGATAACCTCATGAAGGCCCGCGCTCAAAAGCACCGAGATACTGAGGAGTAATCGCATATTGGAGTATCCAAAATCAGTGGAAAGCGATAAGAGTAGGTTAGGTTCCCCCTTCTACGCTTCGATGCAAATCAATCACTGAAAGTATATATAGTAGATGTAGATGTCGAAATACAACCTCTCTCGGCCTCGGTGCCCGTTGCCGAAGGTTCGGCGAGTTCCCCACGTTTTTCTGAGTTGCATTTCGCGGGGTTATCATCACCTCCTTGACTGCCGGGGAAATCAACTAAGTCGAACTGAGCATGGACTGCTTCTCGAATGGATATCGAACTGTAAAAGCTCGGCTACACGCCGGAGAAACTGTTCTCTTCGGTGCCACTTCGCAGCAACCATTTTGCGGAATGTGGTTTCACCGAGATGGTTTGTATTAGCTATCAACAGCGCGGGGTCTCGTCAACGCTTTATGTCTCTGCTGTCCTTGTATCATTTCTTTCTCTCCTTTATATCGATCTTTTCAGCGATTTCGGGTTTGCGGGCATAGAAATAATTACCTCGGTCTACCAGGAAGAGGACGAATGGTGCGAGAACTGCGGGGTTGGCTTGTCACTTTGGATCCCTCACTCTAGTCACCTCCCCCTTCGAGACTGGACCTTCAAGTGGTTCCGCGGTGATGTGGGTCGATGCCATTTCTGTGACATTCTGCTGGCCCGTAGTCACCGGGTGAGTTCTCCATGATGCCTGTTGTCTTATTCACTCACCCGTGATGCTCGTTACTAGGTTATTCTAAACCTTATTAGTCATGGAAAATCCTGTATCGGAGTCGGCCTATCCCGGACACGACTAAGGGCTTCTCGGAGTTTGTTGTCATTAACATTGACCTACTTCGGGACCTTATTATATTGTCTACAGATCTTACTCTTATAACTATCGATAAATCTTGGTCTCCGGATTGAAGCAGTGACTTCTGTTGATAATTGGTGCCTGGTATTCTATCCACCTTGCAGCAGACAGACTTCCAAAAGAGAAGCAATCATCTCTCGTCGGATTCCGTTCCTCGGAGATCAATACTAAATATGAAAATGCATAGAAAGTACTTTGGCAGCCTTTGATGCTGCATAGCCACCAGGCATTTCAGGCCCATGTTTCATCTTGATAGACGAAGTTCCAATGAGGGTCGGCTGCAGGCGGAATCCATCTGGAAATAACGCCACAATAAACCGTAATTAACGACCAAAGGTCTTCACAGCCGATGGGACAACGCTAACTTCAATAATCGGACTCTGTTGATTCCATGACTATAAAGTGCCATGTGGAATTCTGATTTATTTAAGCATATTAATAGTATTCTCCACATGACTCCTTCTCAGTTAGTTCCCGTCCGCCTTTTGTCGGAGAGTTTAATCATCTCAAGTCAGGCAAGAACATGTCTTTGGGTCCCATTAGAAGAGATCTCGAATTCAGCTGCAGGCTCACACTTCGGTTCTGCAACAACAGAAACCCAGCACGATACAGCTAACTCGCCATATCCGATGCTTCGTGCGAAGCCCCTCCCTTTCCGTGACTGATCTTCGTGAGGCATGGGTCTGCTTATTGTCAGAATCATCCTTGTTCCCTAACAAAGGCCGGGGTAAGTGTCTGCGCCACCTCTTGCCCCGCCGTAGCTTGCACTCATCAAATTATAATAGACGAAGCGTATGGTAGATTATCTGTGGAGACGGATCGAGAAGTGGCATTGTTTGTCACGCGTGTAGACATCACTTTGCGGTCCTTTGGTATTACTTCCATAAGACTCTTGTAGGAAGCTAAGCCAGCTGCCCGGCTAGAGTCACTGGTTTTGGAAACATTGCGGCACTTGGAGTCATCGAAATATTCGTTGAACAGTTCTCGTGGGATATTGTCACTGCGGCAATAGAAGATAGATCAACCCAGATTTTACATAGCATTTCCTATGGAGCTACAACTACCTAGGGAAACGATAACGTTGTGGATCATCTTAAGCCTACCTTCCTCCCCAGCTCAGCCTTCTAGCCCCCAGCAGAAATGATCGGCATCTATATCACCCTGTCACTCCAGCGATAGAAAATCAGGCCCCCTGTGCATAATCTAACCCTGTTCCATGAATCGTGGATCATACGGATATAACTGAATATGGAAGGACAATATTAGCTGGGCGAGTTAATGTCGTATTAGTTGGCTGCGCCGTTCTAGGCAGAGCGTGCCAAGCGAGGACTGATACGCCTATATATTCTACCGCAACTCCTCACCCCTCCAAAGTAGACAAGTTTAATCTGAATATTGTATTTCATTTCAGGAGCAGCAACGTCCACCATGAAGTCTTATCAAATCCCCTTCCTAGCTCTCTTGACTGGAGTCGCGTCAATCCCTCATGAAGGATTGAGGGAGCGGGATGAACCCCAGCTCTTTTGTGGATTCCAGGCCCCGACGGATACTGATGTTGCTACGATTTCCCGCCTAAAGGAGTTTGATAATGATTATGCCTTCTCTAATAATCAAGGTATCCTGGAGGTTGCGGAGCCAATTGTCGTCGAAATGAACATTCACGCAGCTCTTCCAAGCGACACTCCCGACGATTACGCCTCTAAGGAAACTCTGGAGAAACAATTCGACATCTTGAAAACCACTTGTTAGTCATTTGATATCTGCCACCTGCTGGAAGCTTATTCTAGTTCACGAGGCACCCACTGTAAGACACTGCAATAGCTAACTCGCTTTATAGTTGCGTCTTATGGGATAGAGCTCACG